TCTTTTTGTCATTGATTCGCAACTTTTCAGCACCACAGGCTGGAACAACCCAGCTTAGGTCCAGAGCAGACTGTTACAGCAGCAGCTTTTCTCTGCCACCACTTCTCCCCATCCCCTAGCTGGTAGCTGCGGTGCAGGCATAGCTCCCAGTCACCCAGTCCCAGCCAGGACCTGGATGAAGGTCCCTGCTGTGGATACGCCACCAAACCCCCAACGCACTACCAATGCCTCCTGGCTTTGTGGGCCAAATTCAGTGGTTCCATGGACTGTACGTTGCTGACCCTTATGTTGAAAACATTTTGAAAATATGAACAGTGAACATTCACTTTTTGTAAAAAACTGATAATTTCAAATGCTGCCAAAACTTAATCAAAAGTTAAGGTCTGAAATATGACTTATGAACACTATTTCATACAATGGCTAATTTTCATAAATTAAATCCTAACCCTACTGAAATCAGTAGGAGTTCACCACTGATTTAAAAGGAGCAGAATTTCATCCAGTGTAGGTAATATACAACATAAAACAGAATGCATTGTTTTATACATTTTCTTTTTTACTCTTTTTTGTTACTCATATTATGTAATGCCTAAAGCAGTGATTTCATTGAACTTGAAAGAGGAAACTTCTCAACCTCATTAAACTCAAGGCAGCCCCTCAGAAAATACCAGCTTTTAGCTTTCACTGTTTTTTTGGCTAAGGAAAAAAAATAAATTAATCTGTTGCAAAGAACTCCGAAAGACCAGAACAGATGAAAATGTTTTTGACAGTATAGATTCCTATTTGAAATCTTTGGGTATATCCTGTGAATTAAGTGTTGGTGTTTGCACACCTAACCATGCTAATACTGCACATCACCCTTAAAGGATCTCAGAGCACCCCAAGATGCCATGACACCCTGCTTGAGAATTACTGGCCTAGAGGCTCCAAAAAAGACTAGAGAGTCTTGTGATTCATAATCTCTGAATAAAGAGCAAAAGACTCAAGAATAAAAAATAATTAAAATGAGATGCAATAAGTAGGTATAGCACAAAATAGAAACAAGAGAGGGAGGATGACGAAAAGAATAATGCTTTTGCATAGGCTAGTCAGATCTATGAATACTTACTTGGTTTCCAACTACTTAATTTTTTTTTCCAACTATGAGATATATAATCAACAAATAAGAAAGCCTCCTGGAAGTTCCTTACCACAGGCCAATAACATAGCGATTTTATTGACTGTTATTGTTCATCATTTCATTGGTTCAGGTTGATTCCTGGTATGGTTCCATTGACACTGATAGATTTACATCCCCAGTTAAGTAAATGCAGTTCTTTAATTTCTAATGGTTGATTCGTTTAGTCCAGGGTATACCTTTTTCCTCCAAGGAATAACACCTACAGCAGAAAATAATTCCTTAGGAAAGATAAACATTTTTGTTCTCTATGACCACCAGGGACAGAGATTGCTTTCATTTTTCTTTTGCCAGTCTCTATTTCCCCTCATCGTTAAGGAATATCTTTGCTGTTGGATAGGAAATCAGTGTGGTCCCACATTAAGAACATGGAAATGTGGAGGCCTGGGGGGGGCAGGGGTTTGGTTCAGCCCACAGAGTCAGTGAGACCTTGAGCAAGTCATTAACATTTCTCCAAAATTCATATTACCCATTTGAGAAATGCTGATAACAATATTAGTCTACTTTTGTAGAGCAGTATGAGATGTGCCACTGAAAAGTGTTAATCACCATGTATTACTCCTCATCAATCTTACCACTAGTGTCTCTATCTTAATGGGAGTAATGTTAGTGATTATATAATGTTATGGGGGAGGGAAGATTGGCGCACCAGCTCTGAGTGCTTGGGGGAGCACTTGGAAGGAGGTACAAAAAGAGCAGCAGCTCTGCTGCTGGCCCAGCCACCACCAGGCCACCAGCAGCTCAGCCAATGACACTGCCCCTCTCACCTGGGCCACTCAGGCATTCAGTTTTGCCTCTGGATTTAATATAATTTGGCTGCTAGAATTATAACAGCGTCATAGGGACCACAGTGATTCTAATTCCCAAGGCCAGTAATTCCAAATCTACACTAACATCTGGTTCCCAATGTTGTTCTTCTGTTGGTAGCAATGGCCAGAAATTTCAAGAATGTAATTTAAAATGAGTAAAACCACATAGCCCTTTGCATTTCAGTGATGCAAACTGGTCTTTCTCATCATCACTCCCAGAATGCCAGTGTCACTACATGCACATATTTAGAGGCAGGATCAGGCCTCTGGTTTGTAACATGCTGGTGTTTCTGCAATATGAAATAGGTTTCATGTGTGAAATATCACATATTATAATATAAACAGGTCTATATTTTAGGTTGCACTTTGAGCAATTTATTGTAGGGTTCCCAAGTCATGCATGTTCAGAAGTGACCATTACTGATGAGAACTGGAATAGGAGGTATTGGGATAGTGCAGTAGCCTCTATGAGGGATGAGCTGTCTTAGCCTTCCTGCTGAACCAGTCTCACTAACTGCAGCACTGCAGCTTCCTCCTCCTGAGGACAGTGCACTAGCTCTGTGGGGACTCACGCACTTCATCCCATTGTGCTGGAATATTACGGCTTTCCAGGAGCAGGAAATAGATGAAATATTTAATCTGATGCCTCCTATCCTACAGAAGGAAGAGCATGGGTTGCAATTGTCCTGAGGCTATCAGATCCTCCTGAAAAAATTCCCTCCCCCCCCGCTGTGGTGGCCAGAACCAGAGGGGTTACTATCATGAGCAATAAATATATGCTCTTGGAGACATCCAGGCAATTGTCTAGTAGTTAAGATTAGCTAATGCAAAGCTTGCAAGTTTGCAACCCGCAAGTGGAATTTGTCTGTCACAATTTAAACAAAGTGTTGAATCCAACCATTTGCACTGACCATGGGACTGACTGGGCCCCAAAAGTAAGCAGAACTACAAGATTAGCTGATCTAACAGGTTTTTTAAAGGTCAGCCGTAACAAGATCTGACCACCTAATGTAATTAGCACATTCCAAGGGATCCAAGGAATAAGAAACCAAGGGGTTGAGCTTGGGCAGGGTAATGCTAATTTCAGACCTCAAAGTAATGTGGTGTAATTTGCTTATCGGGTGAACCCGAGTTCAGGTGGTAACCTTTCATGATAATTTCTAACACCTTTTGATCCCATAGGGTAACAGCTATAGGGTAAGGTTGTGAGTGGCTCTAAAGCCAACAGATTAGCATAAAATAAGGCATAAAGGAACGCACATGTCAAGTGACCAGTTTGAAGGACGGGACAGAAGGACCATTGCTGTACCAAGCCTGGACCCCGGACTCCCAGTGTGAGCAAGGACTGGATCCTGACCAAGGAACCTTCCCGGTGACCCCGTGGACAGTGTTAATTGGGGAGCCCTGACTTCGCTGGAACAACTTAGCGCGCACCTGGCATAGAGGGACTGCTGATAGGTTGCCAACCCCATGTGGGAACTCTTTGTCATTCTGTCTGTTGTTATTATTCCCTATAGCTCTTTATTACTGTACTATGTTTGTCACATTAACCTTTTTGTTAACTGTTGTATGCTAAGCTATAGGTAAATTTGCCTTTACTTCACTCCTTGACCCCGAACCCAGCAGCCTAACAACTGATACACTCACAGCGCCTAGCTGGCCTGTGACACCCTGCCCCTCCCAAAAAAGTCACATTTTCTGCCAAAATGCTAAATTTCAGTAACATTGTTTGAGGCAAAGATTGTGGGGGAAGATATGTTTTATTGGATCCACTGCATGGTTGGGCTTAGACAAGCATTCAAATGCAAGGTCGCCTCCTTCCGAGATCACCGATGAAGCGGACTGTGGTGGCTACCACATGGCTCCAAGGCTCCCAGGACTGAAGTTTATTTCCTACATATGGGGACTTTGTAACATCTGGAACTTTCCCTGAGCCTGATGAAGGGCGCATGAGCTTGCAGAAAAAGATTTTATATTTTTTGTGGTTTCTCAGTTGGTCTAATGAAAGGCATCATTTTGGAAACAGAGTTCCAGATGTTCCCATTTCTTCAAAGACAGTGTTTTGAAGGGACAGGTCCAGGCTGGGAGTACACTTCTTGGTCACCCGTGCGCGAGTTGTGCCAAGCAGCTTGCCCAGGCCCCTTCTGGGGGTGCTGCAAAGGCAGTTCAGGAGAGGGGAAGAGAGGACCCGGGCACTCCTCACGCTGGAGGAAGCGCGGCCGGGACAGAGGCCGGCCCTGCCGGTCCCTAGCCGCAGGCACTGCCCCTGCAGCTCTGCCCCCGGCCCGGTTTTCGGGAGGGCTCGCGAGCGCCCCCGGCCGGGCGCGGGCCGCTGCTCACGGCGCAGCAGGTGAGACGGCG